AAAACAAAGAGATGCCAGGTTCAAGATTAAAACTATAAAGTTGTGACCAAACACCATTATGACACGATTAATCAGAATTGAAGAGTAACTACTGGAAGGCGTTCATTTGACATGTTTCTCAAGCATTTTTAATTTATCTGTAATAGAATTTTTAGGATGGTCTATTGATAATGGAAGTAATATGCGAAAACATAATAAAATTATTAAAATTTGAAGGAGGAATATGAGATAAGGCTTGATGATAGTATAAATGCGGACCTACATGCTCTTCATTGTTCGAGGTGAGAAACGCCGCGACGACATTCAGCTGTTTCCAACACCTGTCACATAACTCACTAAATAGCCGCTCTTTAATGTTTTGGTTTGTTTTTTGTAAAATAATATAACATCAATGGATTTGTATACTATGTACAGAAAGTTGATTTTAATCAATTTACGACACCAAAATAAATATTACTTGCGTTTGGAAAATTGTGTAATCAACAGTCAGTAGAATGTAAACGTATAAAGCGTTACATTTTTAGAAGTATTATTTAATGTTACGGTTTGTTTTGCATTGGGGTCTCTAAAGGCAGCTCTGTGTATTGTTCCATCTTTTTGATGTGTAGTATATGTTGTTGTAATTTCTCTTATTGGTATCTGTACGACAAATTATGTTTGGTATTGTGTAAATCTGTTAGAAGTATGGTTACACCTGGGCAATCAGCCAATTAGTAGCAAATTCTTCATCAATTCTTCATTATATTCGATTATTCCAGGGCCATACACAACATCGCTGGTATCTGACTGGTATTGTTTCTTCTCGGGAACCACACTTAGTCAGAGTCATAGCATTGTTTATAATACTTATTTAACATGAGTCAAGTTTTACATTGATATTCAGAATTGATCTTTCATTTTCTTTGTCCATATGACATTAAATCAAGTTTTTCACATGTAATAATTACATGTAATAATTCTTCCAATTTTTCTTCTCTAATTATGCTTTATACACAGTGTATAGATTTTTACCGCGTTACCGCACGGAGTATAGTCAATGAACTGCCATAAAACATGAGAAACAATGAGATATGTCCGCATTGCCAACGCTGTTGTTTTTACCAATTGGACCATACCTCACGATCTTCGCGTAAGAGCTAGTTCAAAAAAGAAAATATTCACCAGAGTAGTTACTATACGCCGTTTTTAAATCTACTCATGGGTATGGCAAGCATAAATATGTTTATGTCTGAGTAGGAAACAATCGTCTTCATTGTGACGACTGCGTATCGGCAGAAGCGACGGCCACCAGATAATGAGAACGAGTTAAAGGCCGACAGAACAAGGAAACGAGTTGGGAGACAAGGAGTTCTGTAGGATCGTGACGTGTCAAACCGCAAGGCAAAGCACCACCACCCACCTTCATTGCTGACAACCAGTACATTCGCTACGCGCAAAAAGTACAGGTAAAGTGCTCTAAATGATGTACACAGTATCATTAACACACCGCTTACGCTCCGACAGTTTAGGCGGAGAGGTCAAGCAAAGGAGTCAGCGGCGTTGCAGCCTCGCGTTAGGTTGCCGATTAAAAGGGAGGCGTCTCGAAAGGAAATATTTGTAAACAGCGGCAAAAAAATTCGTACTTTTCTGCGCGCGCGGCGCCCTTCGTATTTCGGTTTAAGCCTTGCTTGTTAAGGGGCATTAGCTGATTCACTGCAGGGCCTGGACTGGGAGCGTCCTTGGTTTGAGGCCAGATATGTGGCCAGGGATTTCAAACTAGGTAGATAGTACGTAGAATTCAGACGCTGTTCTGGAGTGAGAATTCTAGCAGTCATCAGCGCTGATCGTAATTTTTCGCAGGTTTGTCTTCGTCGAATACCAGGACGAATGCCGGAGCCAGTAACCTAACCAACGGGTCACGGTCTTTTCCTTCTCCTCCTTTTCATCCTCACTCCTATATACACACACACGCACACACCACACTTTATTGCGGTTATACATTAGGGTGTTTAGCGGGGTCGGGGAAAAGTTAGAGGACTTGTCCAAACTGGGGCAGGTTGCCCCCGCTGGTGTGGAGATACGCATGGTTGGGGAAAAACCCGCTAGCCTGCTGTATGTCGGAGCTCGTTCTTACCAGTCTACGATGGGAAGATTATTGACACCTTTCGAGAAAAAAACAGGCACTACCTCTGACGGGTCTAATGGCTTTAGCAGTTTACGCGTGCCGAAAATTACTTAATCTATTCATTCAAAATCAACGCTGCTGCGGACATGTCAAACGTGAAAGCGATATAAATGAATGGTATGTTGGCGCCATGCGTGGTGACTACAGACTGCCTTAGGTTGGGTAAAATGACCACACCCTGGGCGTATAAGAGAAGCCATTGCACATAGCATCTCTAGCCACACATGGAGGTTCGATTTACAAAATGTATAGTTTCAATTTTTTTCATATTCAATGGAAGCGGCCGATTATTTTAAAGATGGGTATGTTGTTTGTATGGTTAATGCTATGTTGATTGCTACCGGGGCTTCGAACTGCCGGCCAAGTAATATAAACTCGAGCGTGCATTCAAGTGGTCTGTGTGAGGCTGTGTGGATACACCCGCCACATTCTCACATTTAACTGGTCGTCCCGTCGCTGAACTATCTCATCTCTCACAACCTGCTCAAACCCGTATGCTTATAGGTGGTTGTGGTGAATAGTCGTTTTTGTGGCTTCCATTTTAGCAGCAGAAGAACTGAGTGTGATGGCTAAGCCAGTTTGAAAAGCTGGCTTTTTTAATAAATAGTATTTTGTTGTTGGCAATGATGACGCGTATAATTATTACACTATCTTATATCCAATCGAAGGCAATAATAAACAACACCTGCGATTACATGCCGAGGAAAGGGGAATATATAAATGCTCCCCTTCGAAAACTCTTGGCCATCATTTGTGTAGCTTATCATCGACTTCAGAGTAATATTTGCAAGAGATACACGACGTACAAAAAATGCGTGAAGGGTTCGAGTATTGAAGACCTTAGTATTTATAAAACCGATTATTCACAGATAACTACAACTTGAGAAGTATTCCACTCAAAAGAAGTGTTTTTAAACAATCACTCGCAAATAATTTCCTTTTGGAATGAGATGCCAAAACGAATGGGAGATAAAACGAGACGCGCCACTAAAAAGCAAATCTCTTTCGCTTTTCCAGGAGAAGGTGGCGGAGGAGCTGCAGGCGATCTTCCAGGGCTCCGACAGGCCCCCTTCCATGCAGGACCTGGCCGAGATGAAGTACCTGGAGCGCGTCATCAAGGAGACACTGCGCCTCTACCCCAGCGTGCCAATCATCGGCCGACACGTTCACGAGGACATAAAAGTTGGTACGTGAACAAGTTCTAATCGCTGCGCTCCTTGTATTTCGGACTGGTAATACAGTCAAGAAATGAATGAACTTTGATTTAATGCGTCATTTACTGGAGAAAATCAATAAACCAATAAGTTTTTGAATAGATTTCATTAAGCGCTCAAGCGCTCAACACATTATACCTTCTCAAACAAGAGATCAAAATCTCTAATCAGCTCTGCATTCACTAGCGGATCTTGGGAGGCCAAGGAGGTCATGTCTCCCCTCAAAGGTCGAGAGCTTTCGTTTACCTTCCTTTATTTTGGCAAAAATTTTTAAATATTTATGTTCGAATTATGTAAGTATTTAAACAATAAAATTGAGTAGTGTCATATCTACACAGCATAAATAATATACAATATAATAACAAATATATTTATTATTTAACAAAAATCTATGATGCCTCCATCCCACTGATCGTTTGGATCCGCGCGTCTGCACCAAATAAAGGATGTGTAATTCTGTATCAGATGCAGAGCTGTGAGAATCATGCGCAGTTCAATGCCACTTGCTTGATAACTCAGTGTAGTACATATTGTAACGTATTAGCCAGCGTGCCTCATGACATCTATTTGGGGACGCTCGAGAGAGGATTAGCCTAGCCACAGGAAGTAGGGTTTTTCCGTAAAGGCAAGAACGCGGAAACGGAAGACACAAGGCTTTGGGAGTTTCCGAGGGGCATTGTTTTAATCAGAGTCGATAGACTTCCGTTGCCAGAGAGTCTGTGGCGTGATCTGGGCTGTCCGGGTGAAGCCGCGTCGAAGGCTTGTGTTTTCGACCTTAACGACGCCTGAGAAAGACCACGACAGGATGATCGGAAACGTCGGCAAGACTGCTTCGACTCGGGTCACCCGGACAGCCCAGATCACGCACATTGTTTTAATCGTATTATAACTGGAAGGATGTCAAAATCTCCGTACACCTACACCAGACATAACAGGCTCCACAAAATAAAAAATGTTGCCAGACCCAACAAACTTGGAACACGTTCTGTAAGTATTTTGACGTGCTGAATTCGAATCTGAAGTCAGAATTGTGACACATCCTCCATTGTTTAAAATCCGAAAAAAACACGCAACAACTCGCGCAAAACAATGA